TCAATGTATCATTTGAATAAACTGTGTGAAATATAATCATAAAATTCTGAAGCAGTTTTTTGAGCAGTAGGAAAAAAAATACCTGATTGAGGAAAAACGCCTCAAAACAATTTGATATTTCCCCTGCGAGCTAGCAAAGCTTGTGTTTCTTTACAATTAAGAAATTTCAATATTCAAATACTAATTGAGGTTTCCTCTTTTTAATAACAAAAGTTCTTTAAAAATCACATAAAATAATGATTCAGACCAAATAATGAATCACTGTAACCAAGAGACAAGTTAAGTCACATCTCTGGATCCAGTTATGATCTCAGAATCATCAGAAGTATCCAAACATATCTTTTAAAGCAGGAATCTGATAATGTGATTAGGTCCTTCTGACCAAATTTGACTTATTCCTCACTCTGATACATTTACTAAATTTATTCAAAGAAATCACTATGATAAATTGCTTTAACTACCATTAAAACAACCTGAATAAAAACAAATACCAGTGAGTTGTAGGTTAATGTATTTCAAAACACCACTGCAGAAAATACAGAGGCTGAAAAAATGACTGGATGCTGCTTGTGATTAGGTTCTAGCCTGGAACAAACTAATTAAAATTATTAAGTACAAAGTTTGTTCTGGCTGTTTAAATGGCTGAATAGTTTTGGACCAATTTAATCTGCAGTAAAGTATAAAATGAAGCATCAGTTGAACTGCAGCGCCAACACCACCAGGGTGAGAGACTAAGAGTTAGCTTTACCCAACCAAGTAATGCTCATTATTTCAGTTTTCCATCTAGATTTTGAGTTTTATCAAAGACTGAAAAAATTTAACAAAAATTCATCCTCAACCAAATTGTATCATAGTAGTTGTTTGAGTGAGACCCTACCTGCTGAGCCAACTCCCTGGTGGGAGCCAGAACCAGAGCCTGAGTGGCTTTCATCTCGATATCAATCTGCTGGAGAATGGAAATGGCAAAGGTGGCCGTTTTCCCAGTGCCAGACTGGGCCTGAGCAATAACATCGTAACCTGAAGAGAAGGGAGAAATGGTACTTCAGCTAATTCAGTAAATATCTTACCACTCCAATTTAAAGTCACAAAATAACAAGAGTTTAATAAAAGTGTGGCTTCAGCTGTGGTTTCCAGCTTTGACCCTGTGCAGATTCCAGAGCTGACCATCATGTACAGAGTGATAGAAAAACTTAAAACTACTGATGTAAATTAACCAAATCTATTGTGACAATTACGTTTGGTCAGCTAGACCCAATTAGGTGAAATGAAGCTGACATTTTAGTCCAATTTAAACACACTTTTATAAAACACAGAACTTTAACTTACCCTTGATACAAGGGATAATAGCCCTTTGCTGAATAGCAGATGGCTTCTCAAAACCATAGGCATAGATTCCCCTGAGGAGATGTTCCCGCAGGTTCATCTCATCAAAGCTGTCCACAATCTGGTTCCAGTTGCTCTGGAAGAGTTGACAGCAGCAATGAGTTCAGGACAATTAACAGTTTCACCACATTATCCAAGTGACAGCATTTAACACTTATTACTTTCCACTAAAAACAAGCACTTCAGTAAAAACGCAGCTGCATCAGATCAAACTTTAAGATAATACAGCAATAAAATAAGAATACAGGAAATGGCACATATTTTATTACTGGAACCTGATAGTTATTACCTTTCCACTGAAAAGCAAACTGATCAGTTTAGTCACAATTAGCAGACWAGTATAATTACCTCGATGATACCATCAGGCTCCATGCCCTCTGGGCCATTGTCTCTGAAAAATGACAGAACAACCGGTCACTTTTTCATGCCACATCAGCAAATACACGAACCACGACCACCCTGTTACATAAACCACGTCCCCGGCTCGACTTCAAGACGTTTAACCCAACAAGTCTCCACATCATAGCGGAGAGCCCAAAAACACACGCTCCCTGCTCGTTAAATGCCTTGGATTCAGCTGGCACGTTCAAACCCAGTCCGCCATTTTTGACTGTAGGCTGCATTCAAAATGGTCGTTTTCCGAGCAGGGCTCGCCAATAAAATAAATAAATAAATATGAGGAAATGAGCATAGATAGTAACGATACAAGTTTTGTTGACAGTCAAATGACCTGACCCGAGAGTTAGTAAACATTAAATTTTACTTRTGTAGAAAAATTAAAAATGTTAGCATCGCTAGCATTAGCCGCGGCCTACTTCACATTCTCGTAGATTGAACAGGCCTCACCGGTCAGTGCGGGCCTTTTTTTTTTTTTTTAACAGAAAGCACGTCAGCAAAATCTTTTACCGATTATGTAGACACAAACCAACAGATACTGGGTCAATAGACCGACAATTTCAACAACAGCGGAGAAAGGATGAGGGGAAAACGCCTTACAAGGCCTGCCAAACCGGTACGACCCAAACCACCGGTTACGAAAGCCATGTGCCGAACCCTACCGAACTGTACCTAGGACATGTTGGTCTAATGTGCTGAGGGGGTCGCCAGGGGCGGTAAAATGTGTTAAAATTTAAATAACAGCTACAATATACTCTCATTTTTAATATAACATCGATAAAAAGATTACTGAAACCACAAAGGGCCAGGCTCACGTGTAACAAAGTACCGGCAACCATTTTAATTTAATTCCGGACGAACAGCCGCAGTCCTTCTTTCCCGACACATAAAATGACTATTTACACTTCACGATTAATACAACTCTATTTTAAACTTGATGAAATGTTAAATCAATTGATCTAATCGATAAATAAGCATTACCGCTGTACGGCGAGATCAGGCCTACACACCAGTTAAGAAAAAAAAGTCTTGATACGTTGCCATTAAGTCCACAATCCGAAAATGGTCTTTAGTACTTAATTCTTAAACCCGACATAAACATATAATATTATAAGACCGATTCCATTCAAATCGTTCATTCTTTCACTGACCTGTTATCATATTCAGCCGACATTATTTCAAAGAAAGAAAGTGGGGCAGAAAGTCCTTATATATATAATTGAAAAAAGACGCGTTTTTATTGCAAGATCTCTCCGTCAATCTTCTGTAGTCCCGCCTTCTGCAGCTTGCGATTGGCTTACGTATGCGCGCATTTAAAAAGAGGTGGAACCAGAAGGGATACACACCATTTGTTTCTCGGCTGACAAAACCGGTCGACGAGTAGGCGGAGTTTAAGCTTATGCGTTTCAGGCGGCGGCTCAGGCCCTCTTTGACCACGTGACTCGTGTTGCGCAAATGGAAATTTCTGTGAAAAACTCTCAGCATTTGTACAAGGGTCTGCATATTGTGTTAAATTAAAACACTGGGATCAAGTTGAACTGATAACTTGATCAGAATAAAAATAATGGTTATGCTACTTTATTGCCTGCTTCTGAAGATTAAAAAGGTTATTTTGCTTGTGTTTGTATTTGTTTTTATTAGCAGAATATCTCATCTCACTAGACAATTTTCCTTAAAGTCTTAGAGTTATTACTGTACATACATTGACACATGATTAAGTTTTCAAGATTCATTCAAGYTGTCTTCACAGGTATGCAACTTAAGAAATGTTACCAAGTCAGTTTTACAGATGTTGAATATAATGAGGCAGTAGCTGACAGATCTTCACCACACACTGAGAGCTTGATGTCTCACAATACTGCATGAGATCAGTAAATCTTTTTAAGGTTTGACACAACTTTGTCATTTCTCAAGTTTAAACCTCTGGCATTAAAAGGGGGTGGATCATAYACAGTCCTTCAAGGAATTCAGCTTAAATAAGATTTTTTTAAGGATTTCATTTGATGTTGGCTGCTTTTAGATTCTCGGCAATGAAGTAATTTCAGTGTTATCMTTGCAAACCATTCAAAACTTATTTTAAATGGTATTTTTAGACACTTGTCCCAAATGAGTTCAAATTTATTTAGTTTAATCAAAAGTTGTCCAACAAAAGACACTGTAGCACAGAAAACAGAATGACMGAACCAAGGTGGACAATGTGTTTTTGCCTGTCTGTTACAAAACATYTCATCACCCACTGGACATAATGAAACTTATAGAAAGTAATTATTAGATGTGACATGCTTATCCTTCAAATACAAAAAGTCTAACATCTTTAAACGTACAGTATAATGAAACTTGCCATAATACACACATGGTTTTACATATTTGGTCACATAACTGGCATTTTGTGAAACAGGAAGTGACATCGAAGGGGAACGCCTTAAGAAAATGAATTGCAAGGTTTTATTTATTGAAACATTATTTAAACTGACTCTTTGATAGTGACWCAAAATAATCTAAAGAAACAGATTCTTCTCTACAGTGTCTGTATCCATCTGTTCAGAACTTTCACATCACTTCCTGATACGACTTCTATGAATACTGCTCATCTCTGTGGCATGGAACGTTTTTTACAATGTTATCTTTCCAAAAWTTCATTCATATTTATTACAAAAATGTGATGACCCAGAATCAACATGAGAAAACACAAACTGGCTACAGCGTACTCAGATTTACAGAGACAGAGATAAAGGCAGTGGCTGCCACACTCGCCATACAAATGTTTCATCATTTGACCCGTCAGATACAACTCTGTCATGAAAAGCATCAGGTTAAACAAATCATTTTATGAAATGATAAGCTTGTGTTTTCTTTAAAAAAGTTAGAAACAAAGAAGAAATCCAGCCCAACGTGACACAAGACCGAACAAATAGATCGTTCTTTTCTTGAAGACAACTTTTTTTTCTTGAAAAGCCCTGCACAAAAATGATGATTTTTATTACATATTTATAACACATATTTGGGACATTGTTGTGAAAGCACATTTGTAATAAATAAACTGTTTTGTGTGCTAGTATATAAAAAGGCCCAAACAACAAAATCGATCCAAACATAAAACAAATAAAAAAGACAAATCTCCTTTGAACAAGTTTGTTTCCTTTTAGATCAGATCAGTTTGTTCTGCTTCAGTGTTTGAACAAAAGTCAAACAGATGTGTGGACAGACTGGGACACAGTGTCTCTGTCCTCATGTCTGCTGCTGCTGCTGCTGCTGCTCCAGTGTGGCTTCACACGTCCGACCCAGTTCTCCCAGTTTGACCTTTGCATACTCAGCTCTGTTCAGCGCCATCTGACAGTCCTTCCTGGCTGAATAGGTGGAGCCTTCATGAGGCTGACCTGTAGCTACCTGCAGAGTAGACAGACATGAGCTTCAAACTGACTGTACACAACAATGTACACACACTGTACACAACACTGTACACACTGTACACACACTGTACACACAGTACACAACACTGTACACACTGTACACAC